TTTTGAACACAATAATGTAATAATGTTTTTCCATTTTCATCAGAATCATTTGGTCCATATTTTCTAACATACGCCATCATTGGTTGTTCTATTTGTGATCGTGTAACACTTCCATGGAATAATTTAGTCATCTCTGTAAATTCTTTTCTTGAGTTTTTTAATGGAGTATATGCAAACCAAAGAAATAAAGTTCCTTTTCCTGCTGGTCTATCTAATTTAATAGTAAAACCATCATTTGTTCTCTATAAAATCAGTGAATTTTGCTATATGTATTAGATATAATATTAGAAGAAATTTACTTGTTGATATGAAGAAATTAAGTAAATTAAATTGGTAATTCCCTTCAATATAAAAAAAGAATAAAAAATTAATTCTACAAACATCTACTATACTGTTTGTTATTTTTGTACCATTTCCATGACTAGTTGCTTTAAATACAAAAAGTGTTGGTTCAATTTCAAATATTTTGGGATATAAAACAACAAATGATAAATTTCCATTACTTGGATCAACTAATCCACTTTGAAATTGTTCTCCACATAATGGAAAATTACTTGCATAATAACTAAATTCTTTCATAAATTGTATTTTAGAGGTTTCTTCTATCTCTATTTTTTCTTTTTTCAACCGTTCGATTTCTAATTTTAATTTTGTTATTTCATCGTCATATGATAATGATTGTCGTGATGAAACTGTGGCAGATTGTTCCGATATATTTGAGTTTTGAAATAAATCTGGTAATTGATTATTTACTGATTCTGAACGTTCAATCTGGATAGTGAGTGGTTCACTTGAATTCATCTAAGAATATACTTTGTCAAAAACTTCTTTTTCTTATTTTTCTCCTTTTTAAAACTAGTTTTTTATTAACTTCAAACTATTTTTTCTTCCTTCCATATGTTTCGCTTTTCATAATTCTGTTTTATATAACAATTATTATCTTATTTGTAATACTTAAATTTTTTTTTTATAAACTTATTCTTCTTCGTTGTATGAATTGTTGAGAGTTCTAATCCTTTATCAAAAAATATAAAATAAATTAAAAAAAATGAATTAATTTTACAACAACTCTTATTTAAATGCAATTTGTGTCAAAATAAACAAAATAAAAAATGAATTTTTTATTTTTAAAAATCAACTGTTTTACAAAATATAACTATGAATCAAAAATTTAAAGTATAATCTTTAAATATTTCGTTAAATTATTTTTTTTTCCAAAAATGAACTATTATTTCAATGAATAATCAATCATAACAAATACAAAAAAATCTTTTATTCATATTATAAACAGCCAAATGTTATAAAATTGTTTTTGTAAATTTTATTTTAATTTGTTTATTTATAATATCATTATCAAAAACAATTCATTAAATTGTCTTATTTTTAGTTTATTTGATATTTTTATATTCAATTTTCCTTATTGTTTTAATTTTAATTATTTTCTTTTTTTGCAGTTAAATTATTTTGTTGTTACTGAAAAAAGTGGTTTTATTTTTTTTTAATAATTTTTCAATTACAACAATTTATTCTCTTAATCAAATACTCATTGTTTTGTGACTCTGTTGTAGCTTTCTTCTTTTTTTCTTTTTAATCACTCTGAAATATGACTGTTTGTTAAATTATTTATACAGCAAAAAAGAGAATACCTTATATTACATTTGTGTGGTTATCAGGTATTGTGTCTATTTATTAAGTGATGCATCTTCATTGACTTTAAAAATCTAAAAGGTAAATCAATTTTTTTTGCATTACTAAAGAGGTGTTTATCAAATTCTTTATTGAAATAACAAAGATTCATTGAAGTGATTGTTTTCTTTGAAGAAATAAATGAAAATCATTTAATTTAAAAGATTAAAAAATAAAGTTAGAAAAACTTAAAAATAAACTTAAAAAAAAAAACGAAAACTTGAAATTGTTTTATATTTTTTAGCTTTATAATGTTGTTTTTAGTGATGATTTTAACAATTTCAGTAAATGCACAACTTAATGACAAGACATCTCAAGAAATCAAAAATTCACTTGCAGATACGTTATTTGGAAAAGAAAAAAAATGTCCACAAACAGTTAAACAAGAAAAAAATAGTACTACTACTTCAGTTAAATTTGATAAATTAATAATTAAAGGTAACCTTACTAATGTCAATGAACAATTTAAGAACCTTCAAGTTATTCTTCAGGCTGAAGTTCATAGTACAAACCTTATGAAAAGAACTGGTTACAGACAATGTAAATCAAATAAAATGTTAAAAAACGGAAAAGGAAAAGTTTGTAAAAGTTTATTTATGAAATATTTAAGAAAACAACCAAACTGGAACATTAAACTTGAAACAAAAGTTCTTGGTAACTCTTTGTGTTTGAAAGACCTTTCTAAATTAACTGAAAAAGAAAAGACTAAACTTGCACAAGATTTAATGAGTGATACATCTAATGTTAAACAAGACACTTTAGAACAAATTCTTGCTGAATTTTAATTCACATAAACCTAATTAAGTAAAGTTGCCATTTCGTTTTGGAGTTGAGAAATAAAAATGAAATCAAAAATAGAGAATTAGTTATAGGTTTTATCTTTTCATTATGAAAAACAATCTCAACATATTATTTAAAGTGGAAAAGAAAATAGGAAGAAGTATAATTCCACCTCTGCAAAAATGATTGTCAGTTATGGGTATGAAAAATTAATATTGCTTTCATTCTTTACTTTTATTGGTCTGTTATTTATTGCCACATTATTCTTTGATACTACTCAACCACCACCAGATATTCGAATGAAAGTGACTCCAAATGGTAAACGAGAAATTGGAGTTAAACAATATATTTCAAATATAGACCATTGGATGTCATCATCGTTTTATACAGTTGCACTACTTTCAATATCTTCAATGAAACCAGAAAATTTTGAATCAAATGAACATTTAAAGTTTATAACCATTCAAGATAAATTTGGACCAAATGAATGGTGGGCAAAGAATGGTTATCTTGTTTCTTTACATGACTTTGGTTATTTACAAGAAGAAATAGAATTTGATGATTACAAAGAAAAAGTTTCATTGAATTGGGCTTTTAATGAAAGATTAAAATATATTCCAGATGAAGTTGATTTTGTTTTTATTACATCATTACTTGATCCTACATTGAATAAAACACAAGTTGAAATGACTCTTCATTATTATTTTGACCAAATTAATCAATCTATTGATGATATTTGTTTACTTGGAATAAACAAAAAAAGTACTAATGAAATCAAGAAATTAAATGCTGAATGGCCATTAATTCAATTTCAAGGAATATCTGGATTAATTATTCCACGAAATAGCATTCGAGGAATTAAAAGAATGTTATATTCAAGTCATTATTTGAATTCTTTTGAATTACTTGCTCAACATTATTGTGAAGTTGATGAAAAGCATATTCTCCTTTCACCTTTGTACACATTTTTGCCAGAAGAATTCTAAAGAACCTATTCTGTTATGAACTATTACACCAAGATAATTGAGAGGTTTTTTGATATTCTTTATTTGAAAAAAAAATGAGGAGAGGAAACTCAAACTAAACTTGTTTGCATCATAACTATAGGAGCCATTTATCAGCATTGAATTTTATTTTAATAACATGAATAAACAAAAAATATAATTATTTTCAATTACTTACCTCAGAAAGTAAAATACTTATTTACTTAATTATAGCAATATCATATAATAAAACGTATTTAAAATATTGACTATACATATCAATAAATAATGTTTAATAATCCAAAAATTTTCATTAGTGCTTACAAATCTGAGGACAACAACGAGATTAATGACTTTCTTTATAACTTATATTTAGTCATTACAATCTTGACTAATAAAAATTTCTATGTCATATACTTATCAATTTCATTTAAACTATGAACTCATTTGAGAGAAATATATATAATCTATTACTTAAGGTCAAAAGTAAGATGGAGATGTACAAAACAGAGTTATTTAGAAACTATTGTTTATTTCTTCAATTAAAAAAACTAAAATAAAAGAATAAATAACAATAATCATTACACTCATTTACTAATAACATGATAACTGGTCAAAGATAGGAAGTTACTGATGTTTTTATTCTTTTTGAAAGTGACATAATCGATAAAGAAATATTTAATTGCTTAAGTAAAAAAGGAATTTATTTATATGTTTAATAAATTTCACATATAATTTGTTCAAAGAATTTTGCAATTAAAAATATACCGAATGATGTTCGTATTTAAATATTATTATTAATACTATTCAAAAATTATGTAATATATTTTTGATGATGAATTCTTTCTTGTTTACAACTCAAACTTATTTTGTTTCTCTGATATAAAAATAGCACCAAACCATATTACTGGTCAAACACTTGACTATTCAAACTTTATCTTTCTCTTCAAGACTAAATAACACTACCAATTTCAACAAAATCCTTTAAACTAACTTCTCTTTTGATTTAATTACAACGTTTATGGGAAATATCCAAAGTTAATTCGAAGAATAAGTAATTCTTCAGGGGAAGTTCATTTCCATGTATTTTAACTTTAATATTTCTAAAAAAAAGTATTAAAATAATAAGTACTTATTCATTTGCTTTCTCTCAAAAAAAAAACAATATACAAATTATTATAATAAAATTAGAAAAATCCCATTTGAAAAGAAATGAACTATATCATAATGAATACTCTGTTAAAAACGATATATCAACAAGATATCTAAATATACTTTTCATGTTTTCTATACAAATAAACTTGTCCAAACTTTTACATGTTCTATTTTAAGACAAATAAATTTTTCAATAAAAATACATAAAATGAATTACAAATTCTTATGTCCTTGTTGGATAAAATCTAGAAGAATAGAAATAAGCATCTTATCATTCCTTTTAAATGTAATGAATTGGTTACTATCAACACGAGATAATATTGCTGAGTTAATGACTGAACCTATGTAGTCAATGTCCTTTCTTCGGAAACAAAAGTAGTTAAAATAAAGGGACTCTATATAATCAATCACCAATGATTTGTTTTTGCCGTTAGAAAATTTTTTGTGGAATTTTACCCCAAGTTCCTCAACAATATCAAAAAGTAAATGAATTGATTCTGTTGTTCTATTTTTCTTCATTCGAGAAAGTGCAGTTTCCTCTAGTATTCCATTTGCGATATCCATCTTATATATTTCATGAATCCTTTTATCAATTATATTCTCAAAATCAACTTTATCTGAGTCATTGAATTGTATTGTTTCAATTGGAAAGAATGGCTTTGATACAGATGCCTTTCCTGCAGGTCTCCTTATTGTAATTTCTGCATATTTACAAAGTATCGCAATACAAAGAGACTCATTAGAAACTATCTCATTTCTTTTATCTTTATAACAATAAAGTACTTTTCCTTTCGATCGCATGTAACCTCGTTTAAACCTTTAAATATTTCTTAGTTTCTTATGACTTATTCTTGTTTTATTCAAAAACTATAGTTTTAAAACTTTCATTCCTTTTATATCCAAAAATAATATCTTTTTCTTTCTTCCCTGACTCGTTAATGTTTTGACTATCTCCTCCTTTGAATTTTTCCTTTTTTTATTTGAAGAAACAAACAAACAAAAATAGTTTTACTTTTTGTTGAAATAAAAATGTTGAATTAATTAATTCTTTCGTAAAATAACATAAAAGCATTATTTGTCACAATTTGGTTAGTATTAAGACTTGTTACAGTGTCATCATTAAAAACAAACCATTCTGAACCGCATCTACAATAAGAATAATAATGCCCATTATTCAGTGTCCCTCTGTGATTCTATTCTAAAGTTAATTTGTTCATTAGAAATAAGTTTAATAATAATGTAAGTAAAAAAAAAAAGACAAACCACAACAGAATTTAATCGGTATTTCCCTAACATTCCAAAACGACGAAGATCAATTTCAAGTGAAAAATAAATAAGAGAATTATCTTTTACTACACTTAAATGTTCTGTGTATCTAAATCGTTTTAGTTGAATAACAAGAACATTTGGAGGATATTCAATAATACACTTTTGTCTAGCATTAACTTTTTTTCCACACTGACTACACTTCCATTCATTTCCTTTTCCTAACATATTTTCTTTAAAAAAGTCATTCAAACACCACTCTAATGATATCCCATTTGGATTTAATATATTTTGAGTTGGTCTTTCTTCTCTTTCCATTTTTCCAAATTTCTCAATGTCTTCTTCTTCCCCTTTGAATGTTAATAACCACCCCCTCTTTACTTTTTCTTCATTAAAAGGTTTTTTAACACCAAAAACTCTCAAACGTTCTTTCAACTGGTCTTTCTCAACTAATATTGGAACAAGTTGCTTTATCAGTTCTCCTCTAACATTGACCTGAATATAAATAAGTTTAGGATTTTCTATTTTTTCAAATGCAAATAACTTTCTTGCTCCTCTAAGATCAAGTGCTTGAGGAACATTTTTAAAATCAATCGGAACAAT